TTATAGGCACAAGTCACCATACCTCAGTATGAAGTTATACAGTTTCTCTCAATGTTTCTGAAAGCTCACATTACTCTCAAATATACACTGTAATTAAACATAAACTCCTCAAGTCACTATGGAGAAGTAAGGTTTAAAGCTAGAAATAGTTTTTGCAGGTATAAGCAATGTCAAATTCGATGAGTTATAAGTTGCTTTAGGTCAGACTCTGGTCTTAGACAACTTTCTGTATTCTCCACAGAGTGTGGCTGGTATCTTGTGCATGCTACACAGTCAAGAACTTTGATGGGATAAACAAAAGGATGTGATTATTAGCAAGGTCTATAAACAATAACTGGCACATATTAACATGGCAGTTGCTGTGATGTAAGCAATTCATGTAGCTCCATGTGGCCTTGAACTCACAGAGATCTGTCTGCCTGTCTCCCAAGGTGATTAAAGGTGTTTATCACTACCTCCTAGCCCCTATAAGCTAGCTAGTATGGCTGCTGGGATTAAAGGTGTACATCACCACTGCCTGGCTCTACAGCTGTGGCTAGCTTTGCATTCTGATCTCCAATGATTTTATTAATCATAAATAATATATCATCACATGGATCTATATCAGAATGGGCCCAGAAAAGACCCCAACATGGACAGTTCAGTGATGAACTAGCTTCAACTGATAGATTAGAGAAAAGGGATTGTCGTTGCCTTCAATTGTGTTCCCATTGGTGCTCCACCAAGCTCTAATGGCAAAGTTCCAAGCCAATGGTTACACAGATGACCCTCATTAATCTAAATGGATCACAAAGGAAGACCAGAAGCAATGAATATGGGCAATGGATGGTAGGGATAAGTCAGGGTTCATAAAGGCAGGAGGAAGATTTCTTTTTGAAGGTGAGGGAAGAGCATAAAGTTATCAAATAACTAACTTAGTAAATAAATTTCTTTAAATGTATTCCCAGTCTTAGGTCTCATAATTAGGCATGCCTCATAATTTTCTTTTAAAGATGAATATATCTAGGCCCAACTATCAGCTCCAGCAGGGCCACTGGGGAGAATTCTAGAACAATATCTTTTAACAAGCACATACAGTGAAACTTAACAATGCACACTAAATCTGAGTATAACCCACCTACATTCCAGGAAGTCTATTATAAAGCATTCAACCATAGAACACACTTTATTCCCATTGGCAGACCTTTTTCTGCACAGGAGGCAAAACCAGATGTCTACTGACTGAAACAGTGTCTGGGGCAGACAGCAGAGCATGGTGTAAGCAAGGAGTGTTCATGACCATACTCTTCTCCACTTGCAGCAGTAACGCCCTTTGTTCCATACTTAACTTCTCTGAGGCCACACTTCCTAAGTTAGTATGACCAGTAATATAATGTCAGAGGCTCAGAAGGTCTTTAGCACATCGTGAAAGCTCAATAAATTCTTAGAATGGCAAGATTTAGAAAAACACAATGTCCTCAAACCAACACCCCAAAGACAGGATGCATACAATTTTAACTTTTCTAATCCAAATATAGTCTCTAGAACAGGGAAGTACGAAGTCCAGCAGTTCCCCTTTAGTGCCTGCCACCCAGCTCACCACAGCAGACAGAGAACATTCAAGACGCCAGCACCTTTATAGTCAGGCCATCTCAGGCCTCAAACATCATAATCTCAAAGGCCTCACTGTGTGCTCCCTGAAGGACCCCACAACATAGCTGACAGTGCCTTCCACCCAGTGGGCCTCAAGAACAAATGTTAATATTTCCATGTTCAACTCCAGGCTTGCATGCTTTCAATTCTGTTCTTCCTGGATGTTCTAGACCAGAAAACAAAGCGAAGAAGGCAGAGGAACACCCTGGGCAGGAGAAAGCAGAGGAAATCATTCACAGCTTTCAGAATATTCTCTCTGAAAGCCTCAAGTCTTGCTTATCCCTCTTGGCCACTGTTACAAAGTACATTTCTCCTAAATTTAAGTTAGAGTCTCTTCATTTCTCTACCACCTTGGGAAAAGCTAGCAAAGATGGGGCCAGTGGGCATTAATTAGGTAGCAGACATGGAGACAATGTTGCTTGATTCAGAATTGTTTTGATCCTGGGGCACCCAGATGTGCCAGGTGCTGATATCTGGGGTGCTACAGAGTTTAGGAGCTTGTCAATGAAGAAATTGTTTTTACTACACACTCATTAACTATCTCAATCTGAGGAATGGAGGCATCCTCTTTAGCAAGTGTTAATAGCTAAATACTAAAAACCAAACAAACTTTTCCCCTTAGGCCCACTCCCCTCCCGCACCCCAACAATTAGTAAGGGAAGGCATAAAAGAATAGCAAGAGGACCAAATTCAAAAGAAAAAGTGAGCCTGAATTTCAGATTTCCACGGCATCAAGATGAGCCTAAGTTCAGATCAGTGCGTAGTCAGCTATAACAACAGACTCAAAGATTCCAATTTTCATTAGAAGTCATCCAGCTGTGGCAGATACTATGAAGGCATTGTCTTTTGTAAGTTTGCATTTAGTTCCTCCCTGGCAAGAGCCATCCCGAATCAATTCTTTCTTTTCACCCAGAAAACCTTGCTGCTTGGTTGAGGAAGCCATAAGTGCTTCCCAGGCACAGAAGTTTAAGAACTGAACAACACATCATTGGTCAGACTGTGCTCAAATACAAGAGCTATAATGACAGTGCCCTGGTGGCTGGTGGCAAATGGATGTTCCCCAGAACATCCTCAGATCAAAGCTTTTGTGATTACTTAAGAAGGCCACAAAGTACTGAAGCCCGATATTGTATGCTCCTCTCCCCTAAAGCTGAGGACCACGGATATTATTTCCTTCGTAACTCCATCATCATGTGTAGTACATGACATGCAGAAAGCATCTAAATTCGTTTACCTAAAAAGACCTTATTCTAGCTAAGGAAGAAAAGACCCTCTCTAGGTATGAACATATTTAAAAAGGTAGTAAACGTACTATGGATTAACTCACTGAAAATGCAGCCTACGGAGTATTGTCCTGTGAAGAAGCTGATCTGAGGCCAGTCTCCCTGCCTCGAGCAGCCACTGCCTGTTTCCCCGGGTACAACAGAAGGGCAACATGAGCCATCAGGTGAGTTCCCTGGTTCCTGGGCAAGGTATTTCAGGGCTCTTTCTTTACCTCCCTCCTCCACGTGGGCTCTTTGGAAAGAGAATACAGCCAGCCCCCTTTAAAACAACTCCTAACACCCAGAATGACAATAATAAGCACACAATAATAAGCTGCCACAAACGAAGTTTAGTCTGAAACTCCCACGTGGCTGCCAAAGAGTAAACAGCACACTGATGCCCTCACATGAGCCATCACACTGCCTTGCTCCTCAGTCTCCCTGGAGCCCACCACCTCCTCCAGTGCCAGAGGGGCAGCTCCCCTGGACAAATTCACCCACACAATGCTCGGTGCCTTTGAGGTGAGACTCGGAGTGAGTCCTCTCTGGCCAGGCTGGTTCCCTGGGTTCCCTCCCAGCCCCACTCCCACAGTGGGAGCCTTCCCTTTCTATCCACTAGCCTCCCACTGAACCAGCTGATCCATTTGCCATGGTTTCCATATCACCCTCCTGATTCCTGATGTCCAGACTTACATAAATAACGATAATATATTTGCTGGCTTCACATACTTCCAGCATTCAACAACAAACTAGTTTTTTGAATACTACTCTCATTCTATAGCAAGGATGTTCTAGATTTGGAATCCATCACAGAATTAAATAAGCAAACAAACAAACAAACTTCCCTGTCCCCATGGAGCTTATATTGCAGGGACATACTTCCCAGGTTGTATCCCAAAAAGAACAAGCTAGCTTCCAGGACTCCAGTCCCCCACCCCCACACACACCTCCCCATACCAAGCGCCACCTGCACCTGCTCAGCCAAGGCTATCACTACTCACCTGCCAGCTTTTTTCCCACCTCATTCTCCCAAGGTACCAAAATCCTGTCAGGTTTGCCTCTAACGTCTCTGAAATGACTAGGGCCTCCCCCTGCCTCACCTCAACCATCTCCTGTCTCTTTTGGCCTCTTGCTGGCAGCCCCATATAAACTCCTGTATGTCCAAACCTGCTTTCACCCTGTAGCCACGGTGGTCTTTCGGAAGAACAGCCTGCTGAGACACTGCCAGCCACTCACAGGATGCTAGTTTCTCTGGCAGCCCAATGATCTGACTGACTCTGCACGCACGGCTCTCTCTGCTCCAGGAACCTCATCTGACTTGGGTTCCTGTCCCTGCTGCTTCGCCTCTCCCATGTGGACACTCTGCACTGGCCCCCTCCTCCCTGCCTGCTGGGCCCTGCTTATACTTTAAGGAAGGAGTATCTGACCTCTCCTTGGGGAGATGTGACCTGCTCCAGCAAGCTTGCTTGCTTGCTCCTCCCACCCCCATCCCCCCTCTGGCATCACTTGCTGGCATCCCCCCACTGGATCTGCTTGCTTTTTCGGGCTGAAAACACAATGAAGTCGAGGTTCGTGCTGCCCAACTTGGATGACCACGATGCCTCCTCGTAACTGCCTGGTTTTGTGTGTTGACTTGACACAAGCTAGAGTCATCAGAGAGCAAGGAGCCTCGATTGAGGAAACGCCTCCATGAGATCCAGCTGTAAGGCATTTTCCCAATTAGTGATCAATGGGGGGGAGGGCCCAGCCCACAGTGGGTGGTACCATACCGGGCCTCTGCATCAGCTCCTGCCTCTAGGATCCTGTCCTGCTTGAGTTCCTGTTCTGACTTCCTTCAGTAATGAGTAGCAATGTGGAATTGTAAGCCAAATAAACCCTTTCCTCCCCAGCTTGCTTTTTGGTCATGGTGTTTCATCACAGCAATAGAAGCTCTAAGACTGCACCTTGTCTGACACGAGCAAGACACAAAGAGCTGCCCATTTGGGTAACCCTCTTACACTAGGAATAAAAGGCTTAGTCTGCCTGTGAGGATCCTGGACTCCGTGGAAAGCATTCTTTCTCTACAGACAGTTATAGGTTATTGGACTAAAGGAGGCCATCACTCACTTCGCTTCTGGAAGCAACAGCCCGGTGCAGTGGAGTCAGCCACATGTTGTCCTTGGCATTCACACGAGCTCCTGCAACCAAACAGCACAAGTTAGACGCGGTGAGGTCAAGGGCTGGGTGTTGCTCCTCTTTGCCTGCTATAACCAGCAGATGTTGTCTTTGCATTTGTTGCAATTTAATAGGATTTGATATGGGATAAAGGGACCAACAGAAATCCATCTTTCCTAATTTCCCAGTTATTCCCCCTAGTACTACACAGGTATTTTGATACAAGAATCCATATTCCATGAAGTGTTTGGACAGAAAGCCTATGTTCTCTACCTATTCAAGCAAACAGACAGGTTCAAGCCCAAGCTGAAACTGACTCCCACTGAGATACATGCCCCACATCCACATTCCAGGTCATGGCCGAAGCTACAGATGAATGGATCCTGGGAAACAGAATATGCCTTGCACTCTTGAAATTCCCACAACTTTCCACAGGAGCAAGGCCACCAAAGATGGACCTGAAGAATGGCAACATCTATTCAAGTCTTGGTTCAGGGCTTTGATAAATCCTCCTGCCAGCAAGAGGTGTGGTGAGAGGCACCCGCTTTGGTCTTAGGATCATGAAGGAGCTTGTGAGGGTGGAGAATAGACTTGTGAGTGAAGGAAACTACAAGGACAGGGAAATGGGAGAAAAGAATAGGTGCCTTGGGGACAAAAACCGAGAAAATGAGTCAAGTGGAGGCAGAGGTTAGAAACAGAAACCTCTAGAAAGTAGCAGGAGGCTTCTGTGGGTAAGGGTGAGCTACTATTTAAGCCACAGACTAAAAGAAATCATAAACCATAGAATCAATAGTATTTATCTTTAACAAAGAACAAATACCATCAACAACATTCATTGGAGAAAATGGCCTAACGCTGCCAAAAACTCATTTAAAGGGTTTCAGGTATCAGGAGGCACAGGATTTTTGTTTTTTTGTTTTGTTTTGTTTAGAGCCCAAGTTTCCCAACCAACACGCTGTGAAGGTTGAGAGCCACTGACAAACTTAATTTTAAACCAACTTAAAATAACTTGAAAGTCAATTTTACTAACTTGTCTAGAGGGGTTTAAAGCCCTTTACCTATGTGTAGAGCACAGTAGAATGGGAAGCCCTGAGCTAAGTGCTCTGAAGTGAAATGGGTTGGAGAGACAGGGATTTATGGACAGAGACTGGGATTTGCATTTTGATTTTGGCAGCCAGTATTCCAAGGTCTCAGAGCTTCTAGTCTGGGGAATAAGGCTGACCATGCTCCAGCACAGCCATGTTGGTTTTACTGGGTGTGTGGGAGTATCAAACAGACATGAGGATACTTCACAAATCACAAAGCACTAGAAAATTGTTAGCAGTTCTTATTGCAAAATCACCTCAATGTCTCATCTAATCCTAAGTCTACGGCTACAATTTCCAACAACTATGAAATGTTCAAGCAAGCACAGTCTTTTAAATTCCCATTTAATTTTTAATTTGGTTTTATGTGGCCAAGGGTTTGCTTGCATGCATACATGCATACCATGTACACACCTGTTATTCACAGAAGTCAAAAGAGGGCATTCCAGACCCCCTGGAACTAGACACCCTGATGGCTGTCTGTACTGTGTGGGGACTGGGAACCAAACCAGGGTCTCCAACAAGACCCAACAAGGGCTCTGAGGCTTGGAGACGCTGATCAATTCATCTCTCCACACTACGATGCAACTTTTTTATTTTAATTTTCTTTACATTGATTTGTGTGTTTGCATATGTGGAAGTCAGAGTTCTTGCCATCCACTCTGTAGGTCTTGGAATCTGGAGACAAAACTTAGATTGTGGGGCTTGGTGCTTGGTGGTAAACACCTTTACCTGCTAAGTCATCTTGCTTGCCCTACAAGCACATTCTTTTCTTTCTTAAATGAAGTTGGGGGCAGGGAGCCATGCATGTACATGCGTGCCACGTGTGTGGGAGTCCACAGAGAACAAAAGAGAGGGTCAGATCCCTTGGAGCTGGAATCATAGGCAGCTATAAACCACCTCATGGGGGTGCTGGGAACTGAACTTGGATCCTCTGGGAGAGCAGGAAGGACTCTTAACCTGCTGAGTTTCCCTCCAGCCTCACCAAGCATAGTTTTTAAAGGAAGAGAGACTCCAGTGTTATTGAATCCCCAGGCTAAGGAAACCAAGCAGTGATTAAAATTGGTGAATTTTAAAGTAAAGTTCCCCATCACTAACAAAAAAAAGTCTGAGATCTCCTCCCTAAGTGCCGGTGCCAAGAGTGTGAAAGTCTAGTCATCGCTACACACCTTCTGGTTTAGACAGAAATAGCATTTAATCCCTACAGCTCCTAGCAGAACATGCTGGAAGCTAGTCAACGCTTTCAAACTCATCTACCTTTTCTTACACCTTGAGTGCTTAAATCACACCTCTCTAACTGACCAACTACATGGCTACTATTTTAAAGTTTTCCTTTGGCATTGAGGTAGCAAATATCACGCTGGCCTCCCATGCTCCTAAAGGTTGGATCCTATTATTCACAGTTTGACAGAATACATTTTGCATTTATTTTTTTAAAAAACACAAAAGGTTGATGCTTGAAAAATGCTTAGATGACAAACATATGGAAAGATAATAGAAATTAATCAGAGTAAAGAAAAAAAAGGCAAAGCTAAGGTATTATTTCATAAAGCCTACCAAACAGATAAGAATGGAAAAATGTGACAATGAGCAGAGTCGGGAAGGGTGAAGAGTCTTCATTAATGCTTTATATTGCTAGTCATCTTAAATATGACAAGTATGAATTAATAACCCTGGATTATTCACTGAAAATGCATTCAAAGGGGAGAGAGAGCACATTATATCCCAAAAGGTGGATGGAGAGAAAGTTCAGGAGGTGGGAGGTAATATCATTTTGATTAAGCAATTATTTCATGAGTGTATATGCATATACCTAAACTCACCAAATCATTTATTTGTACGTGTATATATGTAGTATATTGATTATACTTTAGTAAAGCTCCTTTAAAATAAGTTTGAAAATATCGCAAATCTAGTTAGAAGAAAATGCCATCTCATTTTTGCATTTCCTCCTTAATACTAATTTTAAACATTTTCCACTATGATTTTTTTTCCTGTTTGCAATATATTTTCTAAGAATTATTCGGTTCATATTCTTTGCCCATTTCCCCCCTATAATTTTAAGGTTACATCTACTTAGTTGCATTGTTATCGCTATCACTATTATATACAGATTACATTGAGTTTTATGCAGATTCAAATATGGCTTTCAATATTAAAACTGTCAAGAGGAAAAGGCCCCTGGCCTGCCAGATCTGAGACTAGCATAGCGCAGGGACTACCAGCAAGAGCACTGTTGGGTGCAGCCCCAACAGTGCTTTCAAAGAGGGAAATTCATCATTATCATGGAAGAAACAGCCTCTCCAGCCACTGCACATGCCCTCCATTCCACCACTCCGGCTCTGCCCTGAGGCTGGCTGAGCAGCTGCCAGGTACAGTCCCTTCCTCCCCACCAGGAGCTATGACAAAAGCAGTGTTATCTGTCTGCTTCCCTGCACTGGCTCCAGCTGGCTCCCCATCCTCTTCCTCCCAACCCCTTGGAGAGTCTTGTTTACCTCTCAGGAGGGGCAGCAGATTTACTGAATATTCACAATTGGTTCTTCTAAGGAAACACTGTGCCTTCACCTGCCTGCAAAACCATTGCACACTGAAGGACCGGCTCTGCAGGGCTAATGATTCAAAGGCAAATGCTCTTTTACCCAAGGACACTACAATCCTTAATCATGAAAATTGGTAGTAAATGTTCCTGGCTCTTTAGAAACAAAGAGCTCATCAGCTAAAAATCTTCAAGCACAGGTCTAACGACCAATTAAGCTCCGTGTCCATTTTGTCCCTCTTTCCTCTCCTTTCTAGTCTCAAGGGATGACGAGTAAAGGGAACTCTGGCATCTTTTCCAGAGGCAGTATTTCTGTTCTTCTAGCCTTGTCATCTAGGAAGCAGTGGAAGGGGATAAAAAGAAGTGAGGTGATCAAGGAGGACTGAATTCTGACTGATCAAAGGCAATAAATCAATGCAGAAGACAAACCTATCCAAAGACTGGGCAGTCAGCTTATTGGAGCAAGTAAACCTTCAAGACAGAGTATATGAAATATGGTTGTAATATACTGCAATTGCATTGCTATGTGATTTTTATTTCTGTCAAACAAACCAGTTCTTCCTGCAGCTCAGGAGTCCTATCACCTTGGAAACGTATGTGCGAATGTCATGGACATGGCAATTGCATGAAACATTTCAAACTCTTAATGAAGTTGCCACTAGAGCCAGCCGGCTTACACTTACCAGAAGGCAGCATATTGTTTAAATATTGTACCAGATATGTGTCTACGACCAGCTCTGCTTTGTGTAATCACAATTTTTAGCAGATATTTTTTAAAAATCAAATCTATCCACAAAGAATGATTATTTTTAGACAAGAAAGAATAAAAGAACCACACACTACCAGCTCTGCAGGCAATTGACACTAAGATTATGAAGCACAATTGCCAAAAAAAATCAACAAGAAATCATTTTGTAGAACTATAACTTGTTTAGTGGCATACATTCTAGTAAGTATATTTATCTTTTATTTGTGTGTCTGTGTAAGCATGTAGATGGTGCTTGTGTGTGTGTGTGTGTATGTGTGTGTGTGTGTGTGTGTGCGCGCGCGCACGCGCGCGCATGTACATGTGTGTAGAGGCCATAGGTCAACATCTAAGATCATTCCTCAGCATCTGTTCACCTTGGTTTCTGAGACAAGGTCTCTCACTGGGACCTGGGACTTAGCAATTAGGCTGTCCTGGATGACCAGCAAACCTGGGGTTCTACTGTCTCTACTTCTTCGACTCTGGGACTACAAGCACACACCACCCAGCCCAGTTATTTACATAGCTGCTGAAGATCAGACCTAGGTCCTGTGTTTACACAGCAAGCATGTTACAGACTGAGATATCTCCCCAGACCCTGTGGTGAGATTATTTTGTATTTAGTAGTTAGCCCTGACTAACATACACTCCAGTTTCTTCCTCCAAGACTCACTCCATTACCCTGTTCTTCCTGAATTTTTCTATTATATAGTTCTCTGTGGTCACTTTCCCTGTGAACTGTTTTCCTTACCTCAACCCTGACCTCAGCACTTCTCCACTGACTGACCCCCCCCCCCACAACCCCATGCCCCAAACCCTCCTCCATCCTGACCTGGCCAGATCCTAAACAGGAGCCCAGTCAGATGAGGAAATCAAGCCAGAATGACCGGCAGTGATAAGAATGTGGAAGGAATCTTCGAGGCCTGTTCATTGTGAACATCACCAGACCCACCCACCTACACACACACACACACACACACACACACACCCCAGTATCTGTTGAGAGACACTCAGGGTCTTCTTTGCCCAGTTAACAGGACACAAAGTCAGTGGTAACTTGGTGAATTTGGGTTTCAGCATGTGCTGGGAGTTTACCCAGCAACAGAGAGCACAGCTGTAACAAGCTATTTTGGCAAGGCTAAATTATTTGTCCAACATGGGAGTCATTAGCACCTCATTCATTATGAAATGAGAAAACAGTGTGGTTGGATTCCCCAAAGGGTCAGCTGCCAGATGAGACCTCAGAACTAAAGTCACTATAGTCGCCTGATATTTTTTTAGGGATATAAAATACAAATTGAATCAAAGTCCTTTCAGGGACAAATGAAAACATGAGCTGCAATAGAACTGTTAAAGAACTTTCTCACTTTAATGGGCAGGAGGCAGGGAGGGAGAGAAAAACGCGACAGCAAACTGAACCAAAGTTATATTAAAGAGATGGACAGATCCACAATTAAGGCCAAACAGGTGTGCAGATCAAGATACTACAACAGCTTCTCCTGGCTCTCCTGGATCAGCCATGGGTACAGAGATACCAGGAAGTCTATGCTGTGTGAAGGTGACAAGAAGGTGATGATGGGAGATGTCATTCTGTAAATACGTTTCTCGTATTGGTTAATGAATAAAGCACTGTTGGCCAATAGAAAAGCAAGATAGGCAGGACTAGGAGACCAGGAGGAGAGAGGAAGTAGTAGGGAGGAGTCAGCATGGAGAGACTGGAGAGAGCAGAATGCTAGCCCCCTCTCCGGCAAGATGAGACCACGTGGAAATACTTAGATTAATAGAAATGGGTTAATATTTAAGACAGAGCTAGCAACTAGTAACTGGCCAACAGAATTATATTTAATACAGTGTCTCTGTATGTTATTTGTGGCTGGTGCACAGTGGGACCAGGCTGGCAGAGAAACTACTCATAAGGTGATATTGAGTGACACTGGTCCCATATGGTGATGCTCATGATGCTGAATTAAGCATTTCTCTTTCAAAGCTGAGGCCAGAGAGCATGAACTTGAGGCCAGTTTTGCTTGCTCTCTATAACCCCCACTTCCCATGCTTCTGCCTTTTGACCCCTCCCTATGATACACCTTTTAAAATGTGTGCATGTGTGCGTGCATGCATGTATGTAGGGAGGAAGCCAAAAGATGACAGGTCCCCCGGAACTGGAATTTAGGGCAGCTGTGAGCTGGCTGGCTGCCTGGTGTGGGTAGTAGGAACTGAACTTATGTCCTCTGGGACTACAGCAGGTCCTCTGAACCACTGCAGCATCTCTGCAGCCTCTGGGACATATTTTAACACAGGATGAACATCCCTCATCTATATTCCATGAGCCCAGAAGGGCTGCAGGTTTTTAATTTGAAGAGGAAAGTTTTGCTTGTCTATACCTTAGACATATTTTAGCATATCTGCATTTTGATGGTGGCCCATCACATTAAGTCAGGTATGGAAATTTCCACTTGTGCCACGATGACAGCACTTGGAACATTTGGACTTTAGACTTTCAGATAAGGGAATGCTTGTTTCAGTGATGATTTTGTTGCTTGGGATCATTAGGTGTCGTTATCACATGATTCTTATTTTACACATTGATTCCGTCTACAATTTTCCATTAACCAAATTTCAGCTGCCCAGGTACACATACTGGCTCTTAGCTATGGTCTTAGCTACACCACACAATACAAGCTTGTTTGGAACACAGCCCAGAACACCCTCAGGTTGTCAAAAGGAAAATCTGCTCTTGGGAATAAGAAATGCCCACAAATCTAACCCTGCTAAGGCACATTTGTTTTTGCATACATTACACTTGTTTCCTGGAGAAAGTCACCCAAAGAATGGGAACCATAAACCCCGGAGCAATATGAGCCTCCCTGTCTTTGCCATGATGCACTTCACATCTGTTGAGTGCACCCGCCTTCATCTTTACATTGCATACTTTGGAACATCAGCCTTTCCCTTCGCTAAAGCAGACAAAGGCAAACACTTAGTACAGGCCTTTTGCCTAGTTTGTTAGTGACAGAATTTAATCTCTCCCAACAAAACCAGGAGAAGGAAAAACAGTTGGCCTGCTTATAATCCACAGTGAGGTCTGCATACAGTCTACAGCGAGGCCTGCTTACAGTCTACAGTGAGACCTGAATAGAGTCTACAACGAGATGTGTGCACATGCACACTGTTCAGGTTCATTCCGTGGATTTATCTAGCAAGCATTCAGATGAAAAACAACATAATGGTTTTGGAAATCAGCTTGGTGAGATGTACTGAACATACAGGAATCTAGAAATGAAAGCACTCATATCTTTAAAGCTGATGAAATATTAAAGTGCAGAGAATGAAAAAAATCTCATAGACCAGCAGTTACAGAGATTAGATCTGACATGATTCCTATGTTTGCATCCAATTTTAAAAAAACATAAAATATCTTATAGAGTTGTAGTAGCCCATTTTATGCCTTTCCATGAGGATATTTCAACACTCCACCTGCCTACTCAGAGAAAATGTCTATTTAGAAACAGTTTTTCACATTTCTATTGCAGTCAAAGTGCAATTTAAATATATATATAAGTATGTCCCCTTAGTATACACACTTTGTGCTAAACATTGTATATAAACTCATTCAAAATATGTGTGTATATGTTCTTGTAGATGTTAACCAGTTTTCTTTTCTTACAATTAAAAAAATGATCAAGATATTTAAATGTACTAAATTTGTCTATAATGCCAAGTCTGATAAGATAGGGATCAGATGTTCAAAGCAATACTCACGTATTCAAGAATCATTGCCAACAACAATTTCTTTTATTGTATTTCATGTACAGATAAATTGCTGATCAAATGAACTTTGACAAGCAAAGCAAAGGAATGGTTTCATTCATTGTAGATGCCATTTAGTAAATTGGTCACATAAGCTCCCATGAGCAGTGGCTTTGGCATATGGCAGTTACTCACCTGACAAAATCAGGAGTTCAATGATCTCTGCATCTCCCAGGAATGCAGCTACGTGAAGTGGGGTTCGCTTCTCAGAATCCTAAAATACACAATATCACATTAGACATCAGTCAGGGGGCAGTCGGATGTTAGGAGGCATCATTCACTCTGAGGTTTGAGCTTGTGGAATAAGGCTCACAGCCAACCTATGCCTGTGAGTCTAACAAATACACCAGTACCAGCCATGAGAAACCTCTTTCAACTCATTGGTAAGTTGTACAAATGACTCCCCAAAACAGTATGGACTATGGCTGCTGCCCTTGGGTTCCCCTCAAAGGAATGACCCTATTGCTGAAGGCACTGCACACTTAGGGCATGCTCAGGACACAAGACACAGATTATTTGAGCCAGATCTAACCCGGAAGTCTCCTTCCCGCAGTCTAGCTTCCACAGTACCAAAAAGTACTATGTTAGCCACCAAGGGAGAGAAGCAAATTAGTCCTACCCAGCTGTGACACCCATGAACCACAACAATGCTATCCCTAAAGGTGCAACTGCAACACTTAAGGCCAATCAGCAAGAGAGAAACTATGCCTGGTACTGGCAACTGAGGCAATCTCCCCAGGACTGAGTTCATAGCACTTAAAAGACAATCTACTTCCATCACTTTGCTAAACTAGCACGATTTTTGTAACTACATCTAAATCTCATCCTTACACCCACAGGTAAGTGTAGCTACCACCCTCTAATCAAAGAGGCTTCTCTCTACAGCAAATTGAGACATTATAGAAAACCACACCTGAACACAATACAAAGACAAGCAATGGATTGTGAGGAGCCCAGGCCCAAGGAATTCATCTGCAGCACAGATACTACATCTATGGCTCAGGGAACATTACATGAGAAAACTGGCTCAAACAGATGGGGAAATGTGCTCAAGATCCTATGGACACATAACAGAGACAAGGTTGGACCTTCAGCTGGCAGAGTCTAGTCGATGTCCTTGATAAGGGACTTCACACATGTTAAGAGGCAGCATGATAACACACAGGGGAAATGCAGCCTCCCTGTCTATAAATTGGAATAAATTGGAGATAATATCTACCTTACAGGTCTAAGAGGAGTCCAGAAAAGCCCCAAAATAGCAAGAGGCTGCGCACAGCAAGAACTCCAATCGAGGACACTAATACCAGTGTGTAGACACAGGTACATGAAGACGATAGTCGTGATGACAAATGATGACACTGGGTGGAAAGCACGGCCGTTACATGACTATGGTGACTATTAGAGCTGTATCACTCCAGCTTTGAAAATAAAGTTGCACTGTTTAAAAATGTGTGCACTAAAGTGAGATTCGGGTATATTAATTTGGGCAATGAGCTATAAAAATCCTCCAAGGTTGAAATTTCCTGGAAGAAAGTAAAAGCTCTTACTCCTCCTTATCCTGCCACTGGCAGTACATGAGACACTCGGCGAGCTTGAGCTGAACCAGTCCATAAGCATGGCCTCTTCCACACTTCCCATGATGACTTGGGACTCCTGGGACTCGCCGTTGATTCTGTCACTCCTGTTACCACTTGACTATATAATCGACCTAACAACCCTTTATTAGCCCAAGGGTATTATTCTCATAGATATTTTCTCACAGTCCAGGCCCTCCCTTTCCCTCGCCTCTTTTAGAGTATTGCTTTGTGTATTTCATGTCAGAAACAGACGGCAGGCAGGGGACATGATGGGGCCTGATCTTCAAACCACTTTAGCTGTTGGAAGACCTCGTAAGTGGTTTTATGGACTGACATTACGTGAACAAAGAGAGGAGCTTGAATTAGGTGGAAGCTTATGCATGTATGTGCAGGCAGTCCTACTGATAACTGAGAACAGCACAGTCTGCAACTAAAAAACAATGGTATAGGTTGGAGAATTCAATTATATAATCTGCGTGACCCTAGCTTCAAAGAAAAAAAAAAAAAAAAAAAAAAGGTCAGTTGTCTGAAAAAGAACATGCTAATATAAGAATCAAGTACATTCTTATAGGCAATAAACTACAAAGCCATCCAAGACACAAATATTTCCTCTCTTCCACTGATTTCCCCTATAAATACTTGCTATCTTAACTTCCCACTTTCTCTGGATCCTCACTATGCCTGCTTCAAATTTTCCCTCCGGTATTAGAGTTATAGAAGCACATGCTCTTTTGTGAGCTGAATTAGATCCAGGGCTTGGTTGAACAAATTCAACCTTGCCCAAGTGATTTAAACAATGATAATCCTAGCTCAAGGGATGACTTCATCTGAGCTGAAGCAAAGGTAATGCTCTGTTTGAGAACTTGGACTCGAATAAAAAGAAAATAAATTCCAGCGTCTCTCCCCACCTTCTAGATTTGGTGGCCTATCATTACATGGCTGGATTTGCCGACTCTGTGGCCCCTTATGTGACACAACTCGTTCAAGCTAAAATTCCAATGGTAGTAAGAAGGTATGTGGCATGAGGTCATAGTGTAAAAATTCTTAATACGAATCCAGGTATTGCTGCTAATATACATTCACAAGTTTCCTGCAGCTTGCTCAGAACTACTCCAACTGGCATTCCTCATTCAGTGACATGACAGACATGCAACTACAATGGAGACCTGTTACCAAAACCAAAACAGTCATGTGCTAGAAAGACGTTATTGAAAAATAGTACATCTTTATTGCTGGCCAAGGTGACTAACACATTGTTCCCAGCAAGGAAAGAGCAATGTACAAGGACCACGAGCCAAGGCTGCAGGACAGTCCCATTGTCACTATGCTCACTAAGCAGAAACTCTTGGGTTGCAATGACAGGAGGTGAGGATAGATCTAGGAAAGGGGAACCAGTTATGATGTCGCTAGAAAGGAGTTCAAGGATAATGCTACCCTAGGGTGTTTGGAAGAGACAGGCCTATTTGGTAATTATACCATGCCTTCATTTTACTTTTTCCAAACTGCTTGATTGTAAAACATCCCTACCAGGGGAGACACATAACTGTGTTCTCAAATTTTATTATCCTCATTTAAAGGAAAAGGAATCTGAGCTCTGCTCTGAATGATATAACAGACTTTGAAGACCCCCCATGGAAGGCCTCACCCTCCCTGGGGAGCAGAAAGGGGACAGGATGGGGGTTGGGAGGAAGACAGGGGAAGAGGGGAGGATGAGGGAACTGCGAACTTGCTGCAAATTTAAATAAAAGAAATACTATCAAAAAATAAAAAATAAAAAAAGACACAAAAGACAAAGTCTATGCCAAGGGGAAGCCATTGTGTTTTTAAAAAGCAAAGGGTGGAAGCCCAGGTGTGGCAGTGCTCATCTGTGGTACCAACTCGTGGGAGGCAGAGGATCAATTCAATGAAAGACCAGCCTTGGCAACTCGGCAAAGCAGTATGGTTAAAAATAACAATAACATATATATATATATATATGTATATATATACATATGTATATGTATATGTATACATATGTATATATACGTGTATATATGTATATATGTGTACGTGTATATATATATATATATGAAACATTATGGGTGGTAGTACCATTATGCTGCAAACTATCTAAAATTTTTGTCTAAGAATACTGACACTAAAGGGGATAGAAATAAGTACCGTAACCCTGAGGTGTGTTTTTAACAGTTAGCCATATTTCCTGAAAATAAACATCTGTTTAGAAGCTATCAGATGCCTGATGCTGTAGACCAGTGTTTCTCAACCTGTGGGCCACAACCTCTTTGGGGGATCTAATGTCCCTTTCACAGGGGTGGCATATATCAGATATCCTGTATATCAGACATTTATTTATACTATGATTCAAAACAGTAGCAAAATTACAGTTATGGAGTAGCAATGATAATAATCTTATGGTTGGGATCACCACAGCATGGGGAACTGTATTAAAGGGTCACAGTTTTAGGAGCACTGAGAACTACAAAAATAATCCAATCCAGTCCTCTCACACTAAAGAACCTTGCAGCCCAGTTTACCACTGTCCTGATGGAAGACACTAGAACAAAAGTGATAATAGCAGAATGACAATGACAGCCTTGACACCAAATGCTGGGGGAGACTTTCAAATGCCACAGGGAATTCTTCCCAAACTCCTATGAGGAGCAAATCTGGATGGGCAGTCTCAAAGGACATGAAAAAGAATCTCTTGAAAACTGAAAACATAAGCCAGGCATTGGTGGTGCATGCCTTTAATCCCAGCACTCGGGAGGCAGAGGCAGATGGATCTCTGTGAGTTCGAGGCCAGCCTGGTCTACAAGAGCCAGTTCCAGGACAGCTTCCAAAGCCACAAAGAAACTCTATCTCGAAAAACCAAAAAAGAGAAAAGAAAAAGAAAACTGAAAACATGAATGCATCTCCCCCAGGTCCCCACAGTTTATATTGGCCCCAGCATATCTGAAAACCTTGATCAACAACAAAGCCTAATGTATACCTCATAGGATGACTGAGGGGCACTTTTCGAAAGGCAGAACACAGCACCCACCAGGCCAAGTACAGAGTAACAGCTGGACACAGTGACTGAGATGGGCATCTCTTCTCATCTTTGGTCAAAGTGGCCTCATCATGACAAAGTGAATATTTATCCCTCGGATCTTCACAACACCCATGAATATAAGGGAAAGAATCTGGAATTGGCTCCTGAATGCGGTGTCACAAAAAGGAAGATCCTTCCCCATCACCGGTTAGCACCAATGCCCAACAGCCTTGCCCGTGGATTCTTGCACATGGGACAAGGGGAGAGCCAGCTCCTCCAGAGAGAAGCAGATGAACCCTCTATTCTATGAATAGCCAGAGAGAGCCACATGAGGCCAGCTGGGGCCTGAGCTAAGTGTGTGGTACGGCGGAGACAGCCGGCAGAGGAAGTTACTGAGCTGTCTGTTTACCACAGAAGAAGCAGATGAAAGAAAGGGGGAGTTGGAGCATGACCACACTAAGTGAGTTTGACACAGCAAGGCCATTCTGACAGCTAAAAACACTGCATAGACAGACAGGAAGAGGGGTATCCCAAGCCTCTGTCTTGAAGATGAAGAACGGCATAGTATGTACTTTGGGAATCCTTGGCTAGAAGTGCACGCTCTTT